CCAGTTTGCATGCCTTTGTGGATTCGAAGGTTGTCTGAGCCTGAGGTATAGTTTGGGAGGCTGGAATTGGTAAATTTCTCATTTTACAGTCAAGATGTGTCAACTTCCTATGAAAGAAAGCTATACTTAAATGTCAGCTCATATATTCTGACAGAGGGTCCTGAGGGTAATGGGAAGATCTCTGTTTCAGCTTCCCAGCAGCAGTTGGGTGTTTCTTCCGGGGAGGGACCAGTGTCTTGAAATGTATCCTATGGACAGGCCTGTGTATGATTGACACCCAAATCCGAGGTAAACAGTGGAGTCAACTCAAAGGCCCCTTCCTCCCCAGACTTTGGGTAAAGCCCAGGGACTGGTTGGAAAAAATCCCCTGAGGCCTTTCACGCCCCAAAGGGATATTATTAATAACTTCATTAGCTGCTGTCTTGAAATGACAGGCTTCTGCCCGCATTCAGAAAAAGAAAGGCTCCAAGAGCCTTTGTTACGCCCTTCTCCTTGACCTCGGAGAGTAATTTTTTTTATCTTCTTCTTGTTTATAAACACACTTACTCTAAAACTTACTCTAGCTCTTGCATAAAAGCTACCTGCTGTAGGAGCAGAACAAGGTGTTGGAAGTGTCAATTACCCAGATTGTTTCCTATGCCCCAGAGGTGGGACTTTGGGCTCATCTGCGGGACCACCAGAACTCAGAACCCAGGGAGTATGACTAGGACTAACTAACTAGTCTCACCTTGGCCAGAGGAGCCCAAGGACAGCAACTCACCCAGATGAAGCCCTCCCCTGGGTGAGACACATACCGTGAGTCGGTCCCAATTCCAAAGGCTTTCCATGCACTCGCTCCTTTATTTCTCACATCAACCCTCAGAAGTAGAAATTCCTACTACTCCCATTTACAGAGGGAAAAACTAAGGCACAGAGAGGTTAGGTAACTTGCCTAAATTCATACTGCTAGTAAGATGTTTCTTGGTTTATTTTATTAATGGCAAAGCATCCATTCGAGCTAGCAATGAAACCCGCTATTAATCAAACAGGAGAGAGGACTGAAAGCCTGGAGGTAAAAGACCAATCAGGAAACTGTTCACAGGATGAGTGACAGATGACGAGGGCCTGGGCCAAGGGAATAGCCATGGAGACTGTGGGGCAGAGTGGACAGGAAGCAGTGACAGGAGAGCTGTGACAGAATGTTCACGGGACACGGTTCAAGTTGGATAGGAGGAGTTGGCCGAGGGAGAGGATGTGACAATGATTCTCTGGTGTCCGGCTTGCCCAGGGAGATATCGGAGGTTCCAGGAACCAAGCAGGGTATGCAAAGGGGGGAGCAGGTTGGGGAAAGATCGTTCCGCGCTACATCTGCGTTACAACTAAGATCTGGTAGGTAATTGGATCTGGAATTCAAGAGCGGACTAAGCTGAAGGTAGAATTTGTGAGCCATCAGCAGACAGACGGAAGCTGACCCCAGAGACTTGGTGAGAGCCCCCCAAGTGGAAGCACTCAGCCTGAAGGAGAGGCTGGGCGAGAGCTGAGGGGAGCACCAGGTAGAGGCTGAAAAGGACTAAGCCGAGAGGTAGGAAGGAGCACTGAGGCCAAAGGAGAGTGTGCAGAAGGGAGAGACGTAGTGCATCAGATCTCAGATACGAGTAAAATGAGGCCCAGCAGTGGCCAAGGCATTTGGCGCTTGGGATCCGTGGGTGGCCTGAGCAGGTGGAGCTTTGGTGGAGTGTTGCGGCCACCAAACATTGCCAGAGAGGCCAGACGATGGCGGGCTGGAGGGTGATGAGAAGTGTGGCCCGAAGGAAGGAGGGAAGGGGGTGGAGGAGCACAGAATGGAGGACTGGTAAAGTTCACATTATTGGATTCTTACACTCTGTATTACGTTCTTTTATGTCTTTCTACAGAGCCTCCCAGATGATCATTTTAACGACTTTCCCATGACCATAGATAACATTTAATGAATACTTTCTATGAGACGAGTACCTATTCCAATATCTAACTGTAGGCCTTGTAACAAGCCTATAGGGTAGATTGTACCATTGTGGTCCATTTTAAAGATGAGGCTTAGGGAGACGAACCAGTTTGCCTGAGGCCACAGACCTGGGAGGGGCAGACCCAGAATACAAACTCAGGCTGTCTGAATCGTCCCTTTGGGCTTAAGTATCACACTAGGACCCACTGCCACCAGAAAACCTGACTTACTACCGATTCTCGTGGTATGACACATCTAGGTGGTCTCTGGTCTTTTGCTCTGTGTTTAGCTTTAGCTTTAAGTTTCTGCAAATATTCTTCCAGCCCCGTCTTATTGCTCCTTGTGTGTGAAGCAGTTGAGTGATTAGCACACAGAACGCTGTGGGTGGGCTGATTTGCAAAGACAAATACTGGGCGTCCCCCAAAATAGGGAAAGAAAAGAGGCATTCGTCCAGGAAACTTTCCCACCTGGTTTTATCCTGAAATATAAATGCTTATCCCAAGGAACCTTAAAGGAAAACATTTAACTGATGATTGAAATGGTTTAACGCAGAAAACCATGCTGAACACAGCAGCAGTCCCATCCAGCTTTCTATTTGACAGAGAGAAAGACAGCGAGAGAGGGAACACAAGCAGGGCAGTGGGAGAGGGAGAAGCAGGCTCCCCGCCGAGCAGGGAGCCCGATGCGGGGCTCGATCCCAGGACCCCGGGATCATGACCTGAGCCGAAGGCAGACACCTAACGACTGAGCCACCCAGGTGCCCCTTCCATCCAGCTTTCTAAAGTCGTTTCAGAATATTTTTAGAGGCTTCCGTAAATACCTTGCCAAAAGAGATGAGAAACATGACACTTAGCGAGACAGAATTTAACCCACAAGAACTTGAGCAAGCATTGATAGAGGTTCAAGAGCAGATTTTTTTTTTTTTTTTGTATTTGAATATAACCCACCAGAAAACAATGTCAGAACATGAAGTCTTCAGGATGATATTCTTAAATTGGTGTTTCCGCTATAAAATCTTTGTGTCAAGCAACTTGAAGGGCTCTGGACTTCCCCAGCCTTTCAGAACCATCTTGTAGAGACCTCTTCCAGCTGACAGCCTTCAAACATGCCTCACCGAGACCCCAGTAGGAAGTACAGTTTGGCCCAGCATATACCTATGTGTGCATTGTGTGCGCACAAAAACACCCACCGGTATACACACCCAGACACATTTAACTGATATGAATTTGTCACAAGACAATAGTTATCTTCACCATGTGCAAGTGACTCAAGTATTTTCTTTCCTCTTCTATTTTATTTCTTAAACTTTCTGGTCCTAATACACAAAATTGTTTCATGAGGGCTTGAAGAGTTGCAACCAAGGGTTTAGAAACCCTATTCTAAAAGATCTAAGTTCAAGTACTCCAGCCAGAAGGCATGCATGAGGAAGAATCTACAGTTGGTATAATAGAAAGTATATGAGCTTTGGAATTACACAGCCATGGGGTCCAATTACACCTCTCCAATTTACAAGCTGTGTGCCTAGGCAAATTAGTTGTTAGTCTGACCTTCCGTTTCCTCTCCATAATCCTTTTGGACTTTGGCAGAAGACCCCTGTGAAAGCACCCAGTCCAGCAGTTAGAAGCACGGAATTCATTTGTTCATCCAACTAATATTTACTGAGCCCCAGGTGCTCCCCTAGGGCTGGGCAGACAGCAGTTGACAAACCCAGCGACACTGCTGCTTTCATGGAGTTGACATTCCGGTTGGCAGAGACAGACAATAGGCAAATAAACACAGACTATGTCAGGGATTAATAAGGGCTCTATCGGTTTCCTATTGCTTCTGTAACAAGCTACCACTAACTTAGTAACTTAACACAAATGTATTACTTTACAGTTCTGGAGGTCAGAAACCCAAAATCGGTCTCACTGGGTGGGCTAAAATCAAGGCAAGGCCAGGGCTGCATCTCTTTTGGAGGCTCTAGGAGAGAATCCATCTCTTTGTCTTTTCGAGAGTCTAGAGGCTGCCCACACTCATTGGTTTCTGGCCCCCTTCCCTCTCCAAAGCAACTGTGAGTTGAACCTTTCTCACAGGTATCACCCTGACTCTCCATCTGTTGACACAACTTCTCTGACCCTGACCCTCCTGCTCTATTAAGGATCCACATGGTTACACTGGGTCCACCTGTATAATCCAGGATAATCTCCCCATCTCAAGATCCTTAACTTATTCACATTTGCAAAGTCCTTTCTGCCCTGGAAGGTAATATATTAAGGGTTAATAGAGCAAAGCTAAATAAATGTCATTATTTCCTTTTAGTATTTGCAGCAGGGGAAATCAGCCTCATTCAGCACGCAAGGGAACGAGAATGGCCAGAGGCAGTAGACTCCCTTCATCACACACTGAAAACTTCAGCACTCACAGACCCACTCTTCTCAGAGTCAACCCATTACCTACACCTCCAAAGGGGTTGTGATTTGGGGCAATGTGGGATGTTTGGTCATCTGTCCCTCGAGCCTGGGATCCCTGAGCAAGTCATAGGTGCTGAGTGAGCCTAGGGGACAACCAGGGATCTGCATCCCCGGGGCCTTTTATTGATCTTGCTCCATTGACAATTCTGTATAGTAATTTTCCTGAATTTGTCATCATTGCTTCATTTGTGAACTCTGGGCATTAAGTGGGCAGAAGAAACTTCAGTGAAAGTTGAAAACTTAGACTTGTGGTGTGAGGATATGCCCAGAAACATGGTAAAAGCAAAAGGTGAGAGCCTAAATGAGCTTTTCTGTGTTTGCAAATTTGGGGCTGCCCCCAAGTCTCAGGTGTATATACCCCGCATGAGCATCAGAGCCTTCTGTTATGGGTCTCTTCTCCTCCTACGTTCCTGCAGGCCCCTGAACTTAGGGCCTGGAGAGTCACTTAGCCTGTTACAACTACATTGCCGGTGGTATGTTGTTCACATGACTGAAGAAGCATGGAAAGTTCTACATGTCTGTGCTAGCCACTGCTCTGGTTCCATTTGTAATCTTGGCGCATTTGTTTTTATTTCTCTCTTTTTCAGGGAAAACTGGATGCCTTGTGGGTCTTACTAAGGAAAGGATATGATCGTGTGTCTGTGATGCGTCCACAGCCAGGAGACACGGTAGGATTCATTAAGGGTGTCACACACACATTGTTTTTCTCTCTCCCTCTGACTTCGTTGAACTGGAATAACTCCAAATATATCCAGCTGTTATTTTATTTTGTGATAAATCAGATAGTAATTTTAAAAATTCTAGTTTCTATAAGACCTCGAGTGTTGACCTGTTTTTTCTAGAAAGGATCTTGACAGACATAAGTTGAGTTAAACTTCCTAGGACTTGAGCTTCTTAATTTATAGGTACGGTGAGTGAAAGAGGCCTAGGCTGTGCCAGGAGAGAGGTCTGCTGCTCCCCAGCGGCAGTGGCCAGTGATGACCAGCGATGACCAACAAGATGCCAGAGCCACAAGATGGGGTGAGGAAATGGGGGCACAGAAAACTCCCACCATCTTCCAGCAGGTATTGGGCCCAATTGGTCCAAAACCTCAGGAGGGCCTTCTGCCTTGGTGAGGATTTGCCCCAAAATGGTCAGGGCCAGGCTTGGAGTGTCTCCAACTAAGAGGACGCAGAAAGGGAAGAGCCAGCAGAGACCCTTAGAAGCCATCTGGCCCATCTTCACTGTATCAGTGAGAAAATGGAGGACAAGAGAAGCTGAGTAACTTGTTTTGTTCACATAGTAACAATGCTCAAAACAACTCCAGTTCTGCCGAAATCACACTATTGCTCTGTCTTCTTGTAAGAACTTGTCTCTCGTCCCTAGATTTTATAACAAAGCTTGGGACCAAATTCTCCCTCAACTATCAGCAAACTACATCTTCCAACCACTTCTCTGGGAATCAGACACATTAACCCAAAAGCAAAATAAAGGTGTCTGACTTGGAACTCCTTTCAGATTAGGTAAAGAACTTCCTTCTTGGTGGGAAAACTCCAGGCAAGTTACTTAACCTCTCTGAACTTCATCTTTATAAAGTAGATGATGCTTTGGCTGGTTGGAGAAGGTATTGTTTGTAAAGAATTTGGTCCAGTGGTGAACACATAGTATGCTCGATCAATGGCAAATATAACTGTGATTATTTACTTTGTGTTTTTCTACTATCTGCGAAGGGCTGATGCAGAAATTCAAAGCATATTGCAATTGATGTGTATCAGGTACCCACTTGCTTACCCTGCTCACTCTTGGACACGGCACAACTCATAAAACAGAAGAGCACAGCCTATTAGGCCCCTCTTCCTATGCACCTGGTGACAATGGGTGGTTTGTGGCTGAAGGGGTTTGGTCTAAAGTTTCATAGCAGGGGCAATTAGCTGTTCCTGGTTGTGGCAGGGACAGCAGGCAAGTATGATGTGAAAGAAACCAGGTCATATAAATGCGGAGCGGACTTGGCTCTCATGGCATATGGAATTCATAGTTTAGCTGTGAAAGTCCATAAGAACACACTGTGATGGCAAATGTTAAAGTACAAACTCCACAGTTAACAGAAATGAGCCTAGGCCGTAAACTTTGTAAACTCGGGGTGGTATTTGGCCTTATTAATTATACATCTGTTTTCCATGGGAAATGAAGTTTTTCTAGCATGCATTGAGACTCAGCTAACAGATTAAGAAAAAAAACAGTAAGATACCTAAACTCAGGTTCAGCAGTACTATTTTTTGTGACAGAATATGCTGGTCTTGACAAGCCCGTTTTCTGCAGAGCACCTGAGAAACATCTCTGCTAAGATTTATTAACATTCCATCCCCCACTGACCGGTTTGGCAGAAACAAATTCATAAGCTGAGTCAACCTGAGAAGTCATAGGCAATAGTGTCATGGATAAGATACAAGATCCAACACTGTTTGGCATGAAAAGGCCAAAGGGATAAATCCAGCAACAATGGAATGCAAACTGATGGAATGTCCTCTAATGAATCACACCTAGACTGAACCTCCTAGTTGCGAATTTTGAATGGAAGTTTGCATTAACATTTGAAGATGTGCTCTACTCTTCTGAGAAACACAGTACCGCCTTGAAGTTTCATTCTCCGATCACACAAAATAATAGATTGGAAGGACAGAAGGTCTAAGAGTTAGGATACATTTGACCATATTCTCAGCGATGTCCCAAATGGATTATTGTCCCGCCTACTTTTAAATGGGCTTCCTTTGTAGAAATCCTGATAAAGTTTTAAGACACACGGGAGAAACAGATGCCAAGAATTGTGTCCTTATAGTCATAACCATGGCCCCAGACATCTTGACGTACACATGGATTACACGAGAAAGGCCAGAGAAGAGGTAGGAAGGGCACTTCACAGCTGCCTTGTGGCAACTCAGGAAAAGAGTTCCAGGGGAGGGAGGACATGTTTGTCTACATGCTTATTCTTTTTTGTTTTTGCATAACTTCAGGAGACTCGCTACAGATCTGCATCACTTACCCGGTGATGACTCTGTCAGAATTCCTTAGCACTGATTTATGGGGCTGACCACATTTTCCATAAACTCAAAATGACTACATCCAGGCATGTGCTCATGAACAAGAGTCACAGGTTCTGGATTTTTCCTTTAAAACAAAAACAAAAACAAAAATCACCTAATTACATTCTCTGTTGCATTCTGAATTGTTTCAAACACATGTTGATCTCACAGAAACCTGGCGGTTCTTCTCTGTTCCTGTCTGCCCCTAACCCACCCCAGCCCTGCAGATGCAGACAGGGGCCCACCAACAGAGCCTTTGAGGCTGCCTGCCCAAAGGGCTGAGTGCCTCCAGCCTCCACCGCAGAGTTGAGGAGCCTGCAGAGGCCCAAGCCCAGAGCCACACCCTTCCCTGGGACTGGCGCCCACCACCTCAGAGCTGTCCAAGCCCCAGGTCAGGGAAAACATGAATGGGACCACAGCAGGAGACCTGAGCTTCCAGTCTGCCACCACCCCGGGGTGGGCTCACAGTCCTATTGTTCGCTGGTACCCACCAGGAAAGCCCTGGGCCAATATATAAGAGAAAATGCCAGAAGAAACCACTTAAGTAGCAAACGAGCAACATATCTGATCCTAAAATATAAAAGAGTTCACTAAGCATATGATACCCTTTGCTGAAACCACTCCCCTGCCTCCAATATACAGCTATGCTCTGCTTTTTCTACAACACATATCTCAGCGTAACACTCTGAGGCTTCAGATTTGCAAAGACCAGGGAAAAGCCCCCCAAAATAGCTTGATTTAGAAAGAACCCCCTAATTTTAAACACAGGGATATATGGGAACTTCAGAGATCAGGGTTCATGGAATCCAGTGGTTTTCAATCTGGTTGCACATCGTGATCACCTGGGGAGGTTTAAAACACGGGGGGTAGGGGGTGCATCTGGCGGCTCAGTTGATTGAGCATCCAGCTCTTGGTTTTGGCTTAGGACATGATCTCAGGGTGGTGGGATTGAGCCCTGCAGCAGGCTCCATGCTCAGTGGGGACTTTGCTGAAGATTCTCTCCCTCTCTCTCCCTGTCCCTCTCCCCGCCCGCACTCACTCTCTCTCTGTGCAAAATAAATAAATAAATCTTAAAAAAAAAAAAACACTGACCCCGGGATCCCACCCCAAAGGTTCTATTTCATTGATCTGGGATGAGGTCTGGACATTGGGATTTTAGAAACTCCCCAAGTGGGGCGCCTGGGTGGCTCAGTCGTTAAGCGTCTGCCTTCGGCTCAGGTCATGATCCCAGGGTCCTGGGATCAAGCCCCACATCAGGCTCCCTGCTCGGCGGGAAGCCTGCTTCTCCCTCTCCCACTCCCCTGCTTGTGTCCCTGCTCTCGCTGTCTCTGTCTCTGTCAAATGAATAAATAAAATCTTTAAAAAAGAAAAAAAAAAAGAAACTCCCCAAGTGGTTCCAACAGCAACCAGGGTTAAGAACCGGTGATCTGGTCTAATTCCCTATTTTTCATCCAAGACAGCATCTCCTCTTTGCTTCTCCATCAATTTGAAGGCAACTCTCCACACTCCTTCAGAACCCTAAGTCTGTGTCTCGAAGGCATAAGGGAAATGGATGATTACTATCTTCATGGGCTTTCACCAGGCCCTTTCCTACCAGGAAGATCACTATCGCTTCAGGCTGCTATCTTACTGTTACTGCTTAGGGAAAAAGGATGGAAAAGAGGAACTATAACTCTGCCTCATATAGTTTTTATCTGGATGGAATTCAATCGATATATTGACCAGTCTAACCCCTCCCCAGTTGTTTTTACCTCGGCTTGGGCCATCCCCCTTCACGTGCTCTGGGAGGCACCCACTAGAATTGGATGTCTTCTTTGTTTTCAGGTCTCCTGTTTCTCTCAGATCTGACATCAGGAGGCCGGTACATTCCATTACTATCAGCAAGAACAAAAAACTCAGAGGCACACTCTGAGCTTGTTTTGCAAGGCCGGGCCTCCTCGCCAGTCAGAAAAGCCCCAGGAAACACACACACGTAAATGTACATAAACAATGTTTGAAACTTATCTGAAGCTCAGCCCCAGAGGTTATGAAATCCTCTCCTAGAGCCCCAGCCCCTGGCTGCGGTCTGTGCAGCTGTTTTCAATAAGGGAGCGAGGCGGGTCACATGGGCATCGAGTCACCCTACTGTGGCCGAGGCCAGAGAGAGCCGGGCAGGTTAGCTCAGAGCGCAGAGAGCGTGCTCAGCCCGGTCCTTCGAAGGCAGATGAGCCGCCTGTAATGAAAGCAACTCAGAGAATGTGTCTGGGCTCTGCCTCTTTCTCTCTGTTCCCCACTGTCCACATTCCCTGTGTTACCTCTTTCTTCTTCCCTCTTTAACTGGGTTGCCTTCCCTCAAACATTCTTTGATCAAACATCTATTATGCTCCCGCTAAGAACCCATCACGGGGCCGGGCACTAGGGATACCGATTAGAATAGGACTGAAATTTGGCTTCGCGGAATTGAGCGTAGGACTTGGAAGAGAAGAGAGGGTCAGGCACTGTATTGACCGCAGATGGTTATGGAAGCACAAACCCATTCACAGTCATTTGGGGAATGACGATGATCTCTATTTACAGAGCAGCAACTGAGGCTTAGTGTAGGTTATTAACTTTGCCAAGGGTACACTTCT